TCAGATTATTATGAGAGGGGTGGGGAAGACTGTGATATCATTAATAAACGAATCAGAAACCTGGCTGATTTGAAAGGAAACATAATGAGTTTTAAATGTAGAGGATATTTGCAAATATTTATTAAGTGCTCTCTAAATGCTAGGCGTTATTCCAAATACTTTACATGTAATAACTCCTTTAATTCTCACAACAGCCCATGAAACAACTGCCAATATTATCCCTATTTTTTAAAATGTGGAAACAGACCTGAAGTTACCAAGCTAGGGGGTATAGCCAGGAAATCTGATTCCAAAGCTTCTGATATGGGAGGTTTCTAAAGCTCTTTGCTATTACTGTTATAATAACTGCCAATCTGTGTACAACTTTAGTATTTCATTACAACTTACAACTTTAGTATTTCATTAACCATTTTTAACATGTCCTTGATCCTCTGCTTATATATTCATTTAACAGCTATTTATTGGATGTCACGTAGTTCTAGGCTTGGGGCTGGAAACACAGTGGCGAACAAATACAGTCCACTTCTCCATGGACCTTGAGTTTGATGAAAGAGGCAGGCAACTGTCACCTATATATCTGATTTCAAAGTATTATATCCTGCAAAGGGCATGAGAAGAATGCCACGGGAGAATGTGATCTAGACTAGGAACAAAAAGGAAAGCCTCCCTGAAGAAATACTTGGACCAAGATCTAAAAAAGGAATAGGTCTTAACCAGATGAAGATGGAAAAACATGAGCATGAACCCAATCAAGATCTTCCCTCTCCCCCCTCTCCCCCCTCTCTGCCCCTGCCCCCTCCTGTTCTCTCCTGCTCAGCAAAGACATCTGGCACAGGTGAACAAAATGCACAGACATCCAGCTGTGTCCTTAGGTGTTAACTACACACACAGGTTAAGATCTGCTGTCTTCACTGCTCCAACCCCAGCAGCTATAACATTTCGATGGAATGGGTGCTCAAAAAATATTTTTTGAAAGAAGTAGGTATACAGAAAGTCAAAGGGTATGTTAGGGAGACTGGGATAGAAGATTATTCTTAACAATTAGAGATGTTCAAAGAAAGAAAATAGACAGGTATAAAAGAAGTATCTCTGCACTTCACATTAAAGAAATATCTTCTTTAATGAAAGAAATTAGCCACTTGATAATTTTGTCCCAGGGCAAGTCACTTAACTCTTTGAGTCTTAGCCTTAACTATTCATTAAAAATAATCTTTAGCCTGCCTAATTCACCAGGTTGTTGTGAGGTGAGATAAAATAATCAAAATAAAAGAGTCTAATACAAAGTGCTAGTAAATATATTTTTCTTATCAGGCTGAGATAGTGACACTCACAGTTCAGCTGGTACCTATGTCTCCTTGCACTATCTCATAGTAGAGATTCCTCTCTTAGGTGGAAATTTGAACTTAGTGATTCAAATCCTTTCTAAGTTACATACATAAATCTATTATTTGACAATTATTATTTGACATAAATCTATTGGGCTACATAAATCTATTATTTGACAATTTTTGTAAGTTGTACTTTGAATACATACTGCCTGAGTTAAAATACTGAAGTATGGGATAAATATTATGTAGATCAAAATGTAAAAAAAAAAAAAAAAAAATGCCAAGAAACTTGTTTTGTAATGGCAGACACAGATCTTAAACCAAAATCTTCTTTGTAAAAATTCTCTATAAAGGAGAAAATCCAAATGTCTGATTGCCCCCAGAATGTATGAACTCTCCATACATCAGCTGTGCAGCTATGTTTACCAAGCTGTAAGAAGAAAGGGGTCCCTTCATCTAAATGTCAGTGATTGGGGTTTTAAGGAATTTCAAATGGCTGGGAAGGTACCAGACACTTAGTGACTCCCTAGTGATGTAAAAATCCTGCTAGCTGCTGGCAATAGTTTGCATGGATACTGATTTTATCTTAGCCCTTTTGGAAAAGTAAAGAAGCCACAAATCCAGTGGCTGTTCAAAACAACAAAGGAGGGTTGAGGTGCCTTTGGCTTCCAACAGGAGTGTCTCTGAATTCCTCAAGGAATTCCAGGCCTAGGGTTGATCCAGCTGGCAGGAGGTATCGATCTCCACTTGAATTCACTGAATAAATAATGGTTGCCATAGTTATTGAGCAGGCGCAACTGGCTGGAGAGCAGGGAAAACTACGAGGCCCCTTCTGTGAGTTTGGCCATGAGAAAGTCTGGCTACAGGGTTCTACAGTCAGCCCCCTCCAGAAATCCAGCCAGCAAATTGCTCAGTTTCTTCATCCCCATAATGAATATAGGATCTCCAATATTCTGTAAGACATGAGGCACCAAAAGGAAGGGAAAGCTCACAATTCAGGACACTGGTATTTAATTCTGAGAAACGCATCTCTCCCTGGCTTGTGAATCTAATTTGATATATCTCAGCGCTAATAGAATTTAGTATCAGCAAGATGGTGCTTGACCACATTATAGCTACTAGAGGCCTTCACAAAGCAGCGGCTCCTATTTTCTATTTTAACATTATTATACAAACAGCACTAACCTGGAGATTTTAAAAGAAAGGTAGAAAAGTTATCCAACTCTCTCATAAATATTTTCACATTTTTTTGTTTCCTTTCCTCCTCTACATGCAGAAATAATTTTTGCATAGATGTGATCACAGCCTAGATACTCTTTAATATTTTACCCTTTATTTGACGATATAGGTGTTTTTCCATGTTACCTCAAACTCTTCATGTCTGTCCTTTTTAATGTCTACAGAATCTTTCATTAAGTGGACATGCCATTTTTTATGCAACAATCCACTGATTCTTTAACGCCTTAGCTTTTTCCAGTGTTTTGCTTGTTTTTGTTATTGGAGTTTGGGGTGTTTAAAAGATAATATGCACCAAACTTCTATATACATACAGTTGTTTTTTTTTCTGTTGAATTTTTCCTTTGGATAAATCCCAAGAGTGGGATTACTTGGTCAGAGACTATAAACATTTTGTAGCTCTTGAAATTTATTATAAAATTTGCAGCTTGCTTTTTATGCTTTCTTTTTTTGGGAGGGTGTGGGGAGGGCAGAACATCACAGCAGTCAGGATTTCTTTTGAAGTTCATGATTAGGTCCTTTTGAGACTGCAACACAGGGTCTATGTATTTAGTATAGATAAGCCAAGGGGAAAGGTTTGCACCTGGGCTGATTAGCTAATAATTCCCTGGGGAAAGTAAAGGCATGCATTGCAGAGCTTGGGAATTAGGGGACTTCATTGCTCCATCTTGCAGTTGTGGTCATTGTCTTAAGGTGCTGACTCTCCCACGTGCATGGCATTCCACAGTGGACAGAATGCTTTCATGTAATGCCATCTTAGTTGAGCCCCACAACTGCCCACAGAGGTAGGGTTTTGTTATAGTCACCACCCCATCATTCCCATTTTCCTATAAAGACACTGAACCTTAGAGAGATTAGGTCACACTTAAGTGTGTAAGTGTGCCAGTAAGTGATAGAATCAGCCCTGGAATTCAGCTCTAACTCCAAGCCCAGTACTCCTTTCTCTATACCGTGTTGCTTTGAGAAGAGACACCTGCAAATCATAATCCACTGAGGTACTGTCCATTGCTGGCAATTATCATGGTAGCGCTTTAATGTAATAGATCAGAGCTGGAAAGGATTTTAGAGGTCATTAAATCCAACCTCCTCCCTTGACAAGGTCCTAGAGAGATAGCAACTCTCCCAAGTCACATACAACTAGCCTTTCCGGGGGAGATTGCAGATTTCCTGGTTCCCAGGCCTCTCTTATTTGAGACAAGAAAAGAGAAAAATGTGTGGCTCGATGCTTCGTGTTCTGATTGGCTCTTGCTTTGGGGAATAACTTTTCAAACAAAATATCTCCGACTAAAATAACTAAATCTAGGGGAAATTAGAAACTAATGTTTGATTTTCCTTTAGAGGGATGTCTTCCATTTCTGAAGAATTATGATTTTTTACATGTAAATACAATGAAAGAAGAAAACTTTTGAGATAACAGAGACCAAGCTTGGATCTTAGGAAAGAGGCATTGCTATTTAAAGGCTGAGGGAGAGCTGGGAGACTTGTATTGGGTGTCAGGCTCCTTTCTCATTCTAGGGAGATGCAGCGGTGGCTGCATAAGAGTATAGAATCTGCTTTGAAGCTGTGGTTCAAATTCCAGCTTTTAGCAGCTGGGTGGCTTTGGGAAAATGTCTCAACTTTATTCAAAAAAGTAGACCATAATATTTAACATGGGGATCATTTTATATATTGTTTTAAAAAATATCAGATAGTGGTTTTCGTGTGTTAGCATGTTATTAAATGCTTGCACTACATCCTTCCAGACCTCTTCCACTTCTCTTTGACTTTTCAGCCTCAATGGCAAGATAACACATGTATTTTGTACAGAGCATCAGGTGTAGTTCAGTGGGTGTTTCGAAGGGGGGTGGGGGGAGAAAAAGAAAGAGAAAAGCTGGAATCTTCTCAATCTGGTTAGCCTGAAAACAGAATGCACTTTGGATTGGGTCTTACAGGGCAGCTCTTGCATTAGCAAATAGAACATTACAGCCTCTCCACCTCCCTCAAGTAAATTCATTTGCCTAGTTGTGTTTTCGGTTCACTCTGAAAGAGACTTGTCTACTACTGATAGGGCTTTTGTGAAACCTTAGCAGGATAATGTATACAAAATAGTAACAGCCCTGTCATGCACTCAGCGTGGCTGTGTGCCAGAAATTGTGTGCTTCACTCATGTTATTCACCTAAGTTGGCCCTCCCAGAGTTGATCATTCTGTTCATCTCATAAGGAAATGGAGGTAAAGAAACTTCCTCAATGACAGGCAGCAAGTTAAGTGTCAGGACTGGGATTCAACCCCTAGTGTTGTTTGATACAGAGGCCAGGAACAAGCTCTCAGAGGAAGGGTATTTTGATCGTAAAACACCATTTCAACTGGCAGGAAGGGGCTGAGACCTTGATTAGGGATTTAAAGGGTCATGAGATACAGCCACCTCCTAAACTTGCCCTGTTCTATCCCTCTGCAGAAAGACATGGGTTAAAAGAACCAAAGAGAGTGGAGGAGCTATGCAACAAGATCACAAGCAGCTTAAAAGACCACCAGAGTAAGGGACAGGCTCTGGAGCCCACCGAGCCCAAGGTGCTGGGTGCCCTGGTAGAACTGAGGAAGATCTGCACCCTGGGCCTCCAGCGCATCTTCTACCTGAAGCTGGAAGACTTGGTGGCTCCGCCTTCCATCATCGACAAGCTCTTCCTGGATACCCTACCTTTCTAAGCCGGAGCAGCCGGAGCAGGGAGCAGCTTCTTCTGCTGGCACCTGCTTGCCAAGCAGCAAAGGGATGGGTCTGGACACGATCACTTTCTGTCCTTCCTTCAGAGAAAAAGCAGCTCCTGTAAAAGGCAAAAGACTTCTTCTTCTTTGTGGTTTTTTTTTTTTTTTTTCTTTTTTCTTTTTTTTTTCTGGCAACTTTCCTTACAACCTAAAGCCAGAAAACTTGCAGAGAATTGTGTTGGGGTTGTGTTTTATAATTAGGCTTTGGAGGGCGGGGCTGGAGGGGTATAGTTCATGAGGGTTTTCTAAGAAATTGCTAAAAAAGCACTTTTGGATGATGCTATCCCAGCAGGAAAAAAAAGAAGAAGAAGAAGAGAAAAGGATAATATAACTGTTTTTAAACTCTTCCTGGGGAATACAATTATGGTTGCTTTGTATTTAAAAACAAGAACAGCCAAGGGTTGTTCACCAGGGTAGGATGTGTCTTAAGACTGATCCCTTTAGATCATACTTCCTGTACGTATGTGGTGCAAACAAGGCAGAAATTCCCTTTTCTTAATTTCTTTCAATTATTTTAACTAATGATGAAAGATGAAGGATTACCTACAAATCAGACATAGCAAAATGATAATGGCCGTTCGCTTCCATATACAAGTGCAATTTTTTAAAGTGCTGTCTTATTAAGTCTTGTTCATGAACTCTCCTTTATTTTCTATGGAAATAAAAAGGAGGCAGTCATGTTAGCAAGTGACATGCTAATTTTCCTAGCAAAAGGCTCCATCCACCCGCCCTGTAGAACCCTTCTGAGATCGAGCCCATCCAAGACTTTTTGGGCATTCTTGATAGAACTAGATCCCTGCTGACTGTTCAGCTATCCTGAAAGGGGATCAGATTATAAAATGGATTATATACACCTGTTCTGGTTGTGTTCCATCAACCCCACCAGAGTGTTCTAAACTTGCTTCAGTTGTAGCAGCTTACTGATACATTCATTCAAAAGCCAGAGAGGAGCATTTGATGAATCAGTCAAGTATTTGATCCCCAGATGAGAACATGCGAATGAGTAGAAACTGGGTCATACAGGGTAAGCACCAGGGACAATAAGGATTTTTATATATAAAATTTAATTTTTGTTATTGGTTAAAGAGACAATTTTGGAGAGTAAGCAAGTCTTCTTTTTAAAAAAAAATAGTATTAATGTGAGTACTAGAAGAAATTAGTGGGCTGCGTTTCAACATTCCGTGTTCGTACTCCCTTTTCTATGTTTCTACTGTTAATGCCATATGATTATGAGATAATTTGTTGCAGTGTCCTTATTTGTATAAACATTTGTATGCACGTTATATTGTAATAGCTTTGCCTGTATTTATTGCAAGACCACCAGCTCGTGGAAGCTGAGTTACAGAATAATTAAATGGGGTGTTCACAGTGACCTGGATACACCAGTTAGAAATTAAATAAACAAATATATATATATATATATATAAATATAGCAGGTTACATATATATATTTATAATGTGTCTTTTTATTAACCATTTGTACAATAAATGTCACTTCCCATGCCGTTATTTTATGGTTCATTTGCAGTGACTTTTAAGGCAGTACTGTTTAGCACTTTGATATTAAAATTTTGCTTATGTTTTGCTAAATTTAAATAATGTTTGAAGATTTTTAGGTCTAAAAGTCTTTATATTATATACTCTGTATCAAGTCAAAATATCTTTGGCCATTTTGCTAAGAAACAAACTTTGAATGTCAAACTGATGTCACAGTAGTTTTTGTTAGCTTTAAATCATTTTTGCTTTAGTCTTTTTAAAGGAAAAAATAACAAAACTATGCTGTTTATATTGTCATTAAATTATACAATCAAATGCCAAATGAATTGCCTAATTGCTGCAAAGTATAACCCAGATAGCAAATCATATACTTTCTTTTCCAAGAGTCATTCTGATATTTGATCATGTATTATGTTTGTGTAAGCTTTTATGAAAGATTATTATTTTTATATCAAGATGATAGGGCCTGGAATGTTAGGATTTTGAAATGTTAGACTTGCAAAGGGCCTGACTTGTAAAACAGTCCAACTTCCTGAAATTAATAGAGGAGAAAACTGGGGCCCATTGAGGGATACAGAGTTACCCAAGGACAAACAGCTAGTAACAGAATCAAGACTAAGACTTAATTCACCTTCCATGGTCTTTCTTTCTCAACTTACTGCATCTATAGAAAAACAGGCTTTTACACATAACCATTAATATTAACATTTTACCTGAAGATAACTGTGAATAAGGTAGTACTTTTGCTTTAATTTTTTTGGTACCTATATGCAAACATAATGAACATTATTAAATATCAGGAAAGCTAACATTTCATACAAGATAGCTTCAGACCAAATTCAAATTGAATTTGAATAAATTAGAAGTACTGTGCATACATAACCTTCTTGTGCACCATGAGTATTTGGAAAGTTAATCCTTGTTTTGTCATGTCTGTGAAGGAAAAGCAAAGCAAAACAAAAACACAGAGCCCTAGAGAAATGCTGTTACTTTTTTTTTTTTTTTTAACATCCTTCAGATCTAAGGAAAAGGACTTTTTTTAGCCCTCCTATCTATTGATTGGAAGGCATGAAGAAGCTTTTCTAGTTATAGGTCCAGACACCAGTGCTGAAAATAAAGATGATAGCCAGTGTTCTTCTGTCTTCCATAGTTACTACAACTATGAGAGCCTCCCAAGTCAGCGATCAATTCAATTTTCTCTCTCTCTCTCTCTCGCCCTCTCTCTTTCTCTCTCTCTCTCTCTTTTTTTTTGTCTTAATGTTGACACACCAGTGTATACAGTGGATGACCACACTAGCTCAGAAGAGGACAAGAAGCATTGAAGCAGGTGATTCTTCCCCTTGTGGGAGAGCTCTCTCAGTGTGAACATGCCTTCCGTGGGCGGAAATCAGGAATCCACCAGCTGTTAATGGAGAGTGCCTTGCTTTTATTTCAGATAGCAGAGTTTTCCCAAGTTCCTCTGCTCCTCCAACAGCATTGCTCTTTAGTGTGTGTTAACCTGTGGTTTGAAAGAAATGCTCTTGTACATTAACAATGTAAATTTAAACGATTAAATTAAATTACATTTTACCAATGGCTGCTGGTGTGTTGAATAAGCATGCTTCATTTAACAGTTTTCTCTTAATCATTTATATAATAGTATTTGCTGTGAACTCTTAAGCACATCCCAAAATGGATTTTTTAAAAGGCTTAGTAATGCTGAAAAATTAATAGGCATTCTGAATTGGAAATAGATTAAACCTCACTGATTGGAAAGAAGGACACTCTAAATTCAATAACCATTTATTGACTACTTCCTGGGGGCAAAGCTCTCCTGGGTGTTCTGAGGAACACAAACACACAATGTGTGAAACTCCATTTCTCTTCCAACTGTACATAATTTAAATAGAGCTAACAATTTGTTGCCTAACAGTATTTCTTTCTTTCTTTTTTTTTTTTTTTTTTGTTTTTTGGTACTGGGAATTGAACCTAGGAGCGCTTAACCAGTGAGCCACATCGCCAGTCCTCTTTATTCTTATTTTTTAAATTTTGAGACAGGGTCTCACTAAGTTGTTTAGGGCCTCACTAACTTGAAGGGCTGGCTTTGAACTTGCTATCCTCCAGCTTCAGCCTCCTGAGCTCCTGGGATTATAGGTGAGCACCACCATGCCCAGTGCCATACCTTTAGAGGTACAGAGGATTTATTTTTAAATTAAGATGACAGGATATTAATTTTTCGTGAATGAAAATTGACAAGAACCAGGGATACAGCTCTCAAAGATTGAGCAGTGCTCTGCCTTATTGTTTAAGCCATTGCTACTTTGTTGCTCAGAACCCCCTTCTTTGTGGGAGATACTCATCAACTTTTTATTCAACTCTACACAAACCATCAAATATTCTCAGTCCAAATTTTTTTTTGTATGTTGATGGCTCAAAAATAAAAATGTGGGGGCTCTCCTAATTTAGTTCATCAGTTCATGCATAGGTATATTCTGTGACATTCAATATGTGGTCTAGGAGCCAAACCTGTCTTGCTGCAGCTTTACAGGAATTTATCAGCTATAAAATATGATTAGTAAGAAGGAGAGATGCAGTAGAAGACCATTTGCATATGAATCAGAGCATAGATGCTTGACTAAAAATAAAAAAGTAAAGAAGAAAGGGTTAAGCTCCCTCTTTGGGGACCATAGGGAGAAAGGCCTCATTGGAACGGGAAGGAGGACAAGAAAGTCAAGGCTAAGTAAGGACCATTTGACCATAGCTGAATTTCTATAAGCTAAATACACAAAAGTAAAGAAATTCATCATTGACTCTTCAATTGTAGCAAAATACACATATATAACATTTATCATCCTAACCATTCTTGAGTGTACCATTCAATAGTGTTATGGACATTTGCATTATGCATCCAATCTCCAGAACTTATTCTTCTTGCAAAACTAAAATTGTACCCATGAAATAATAATTCCTCACTCCCCCATCCAAACATCCTGGCTACTGCTATTCTACCTTCTCCTGTGAATCTGCCTGCTCATTAATTTGAATCATACAGGATCTGTCCCTTTCTGACCAACTTATTTCACTTACTGTATTATGTAGCATGTGTCAGAATTTCCTTCTTCTTTGATGCTGAAACTGTTCCATTGTCCATATATATCACTTTTTGCTATCCATTGATGGATGCTTGGGTTACTTTTACCTCTTGGCTATTGTAAGCAATACTGCTATGAACGTGAGTGTATAAATATCTCTTTCATACTTTGCTTTCTACTCTTTTGGCTAATTGTTGACTTTTGAGCTTAAGTATGATTTAAGTGCTTTCTAAGGATAATCTTGATTTTATGTGGTTTTGGTTTTGTTTTTGTTTTAGGTACTGATTTCAGGAGATCCCCATTTCCTTCTTTCACAAAATGTCTGAGGTTGCTCTGCAAGCAAGGATGTTTATAAACCTTTGTTTTATGGCTAGA